TTTGCACACCTAGCGATGTCAGTCCCAATAAACCCTCACATACAGAAGTTCATCCGAGTAGTGGGATTGAAAACATAATTTTGTTAAATGGAAGTGTTTACATTGACTGCAGTTAGTTTGTCGATAAATGTCTCCAGGATTAAGAAGAGCAGGCTTTTAGTAACAGCGGTTCAGTATAAGAATCGCCAGCTGGTGTGTGCCATGACTACCCACGAATCAGCAACTGGGGATTTGGTGTAGGATACCTACCACAGCGTGATATCCCCCAGCTGATAGTATTTGCATTAAGAACGAATTTGTCGGCTTACGTTGGGTGATTTGTGTTTCAAAACCAGCAGTTGTTTTCAGGTTTCGGATTTGTTTTTTTGGCTATAACGCAATGCTCCAACAGACCGTAAAGTACAACCCAGACTTAGCCCATAGTAATCGCGTGTAATGCAGAACACCTCGAATAAGGAATTTACCATAGTCTCCCGACCCTCCCGGATGGGGGTCGGATTATGTTGTATGCGACTTAAGGGGCAGTCTTACGCTGACCAACACTGTGTCGCGATTAGGTTTTTGAGTAAAAAACATTGATTGCTGATGCTAGTCGTTTTCTTGTCAGGGCTTGGGTACCGCGTACAAACACATATAGCACAACCGAAATTAATCTCATGCCACATTAGCCGTCGACTGGTGTCATCAGCCTTGCTTGTCGCGTACAGCAGGGCTAGCAGTCCAACTCATGCTACTGCTGACAACTCCCCTGTTACGGTACCATGTACACACAAGTGTCCTCAGATAGGGACTGCTTACAGGAGAGTGAAATCGTCCGGTCTTAAAGTGAAAGCTAGGCTGTTCTGTCAAGGAGAGCATGGTTCATTTGCCACAATCATAATTTAGTTACTACGAATGTACCCATCTCCAGTGAAGTAGATCTGTCGGGAGTGTATCGGAGGATTAGTGGCTGATCGGCGCTGGGTCGGACTGATGATGTCTCCCCGACCATTGAGGAGACGTTTGCAAGGAAGTCGCTAATCTCATCGAACAGGTCAACCTTCATCTGATCAACAACCAAAAGAGACCAGTTTCTTATCACTTTTAGAGCTAGGTTATTGGCATGCGATAGCAGTTCCTCTGTTGGATCTCGTCCACTCCAATTTAGTGGTGTTGAATTCGTGCACGATTGCACTTAGGTCCGTCTGGGAGGTTCTGTCCCATACATTGGTAGGAGTAGGTCGGCACCGATCAAATTTGCTCGCACCCATCTGATGTATGTAAAATCTGCGATGTCGTGAGGTGGCAGCGCCATTCGAGCACGGTTGGAGCAAGTAGGACGCTACCGGTGAAAGGAAGAAGGCCTTCGCTGCGGAGTTAGTTATTAGAAAATGCCAACTGACCAGTTGCAGACTATTGGACAGAGAAGCAAAACTCTCATTTGCTCTTATTCACAAAAACTGGACATCCATCTTCTCCTGAACGCGTCTTCTTGAACTTTTCTGGATATTCATTGACTCCGGTCATTCATTGCTCAAATCCAAGCAAATGCTACAAAGCGACTCCACAAATTCCGCAACACATATCCCCTTTTGAGAGACGCAAAGCGAATTTACAAGAACAAAACATACTACTGGCATGCCTCCCCATCGGTAGTATCACCGTTACACCGGTATATAGCTGTTCACGTTCGTGTGAGTGACACTTCCACGTGTGTGGAAATTTTAAAAAAAGTCTGCCATGATTATTATCTGAGCGAGATCAGCTCAGCGAGATTGCTCAGCGGTTGTAGCGCGAATTTACTGACCGGAAGATTTGTTGTTTGAACCCGATCTCTGCCTCTCGACTTCCCCCGTCTAGGCTTGGGCACCCCGTCAGTATCCCAGCCCTCATGCTTCCTTCGGGTGGCATGGAAGCTAAGCACTGAAAGGGTGTTGCAGCTGAACGATTTATTTTTTTTGCGCGAACGCAATAAATTTTTCGACCTGGGAAATCTGAGGTTGACTTTGTAGCCAGTGCCCGTAGCAAATGCTCAAGAAGTCCGGCTCTCTGGTGACGCAGCGCACAAATTCAGTTCCGCATAGAGATGACATTGTAAGGAAATTCGCCTTTGGAAGTGCCGTCGTCCGACATACGGGGACCTTAGGTTGTCTGATATTCAGCCAGTGCACACAGGAGATAACACGGCCTACCGCCTTGACTTATTAGCTGGGCTTGCTTTTCGCAAAATTTTTTGGGATGATCAGCCTAGAACTTTGTTTTCAAAGGTATAGACATGCCGAGAAGGCCAAAGGAGAGTGAACAGACAAACAACAATGAGCCTGCATACCACAAGTACTTGTAATACTAGTTGGTCTGGGGAGTGAAGTCATACTGTCCTCTGCATTATGCGTAACAAGGCCGCGAACTGTTTCATCTGGGGGACCAGAATTTCCATATTTATGGAAAAAGCAGTGTTTGTTTCCAGAGGAAGGACGGATTAAAAGATACATCACCCGACGGTTGACCGTGAGTGTCGCGGCGTTATTCAATACGGCCGGAATACTTTCAGAAACGAAGAGTCTAGTGTTGTTCAGAGCACTTACTGAGCACCCTTAGGGATCAGACAGTTATACCCTAGCTCCCTTGGTTTAAGGCTAGACAAGCCCTTCACATTCAAGTAAGTTAGACTCTTTAGTCCTTGACTTCGGGTAGAACCCCACGAGAAAACCCTACCATCTTCCACTTCTCTGGATCAGACTTTCAAGTCAAGCGCTCAGGGTATGGTGCCTCATTCAACCCATCTTCGGTCTCAGAAACAACGTCTATCCACGCAACATGTGGAAAGCGGATGGTCTTTTGTTTATCAGTCTCAACTCAAACCACTACTCTCGTCTGTTTTTAATTGTACACATTCAGCTTGCATTTCTGGCCTCCTACCCACGAAACGACCTGTTCAATGAAGGAGCGTTTGATGTCTGTGCTGTTTGTCAAAAGGTTTTTGAAAATCGACGTTTACTGTCTTCCAAACACGCACACAAACTCTACTATGGCATTACATCCGAACACTGTCCGGAATGGCTCAGCCACCTGGCTTTTCCGGTGATACAGAATTGGCACGCCATAGTGTGCGTATCGCGTTGAGCTGAAAACGCCCTGCGTGTTTGGCTCCGTGTGAACAGTCAACTGTATCTAGTTACTCAGAATCTGCAGCCAATGCCACAAAAAAGCAGAGTATTCGTTATCTATGGGTGAGATAGCTCAGTGGTTAGTGTGCGAATTTACTGACCGGAAGGTCAGTGGTTCCAACCCAGCCTTTGCTTCTCGACTTACCCTGTCTAGACTTGGGTAGTATCCCAGTCCTCGTCCTTCCTTTGGGTGGCGTGAAAGCTAGGCACTGAGTGTTACAACCGAAAGATTATCTTATTTCTTTGTTATCTATGTACGCCCCAACAAGACACAGCACAGACACTGCCAAATGCGCCTTTCACGGAGGACTTTCTAAACTTCTACATTTGGTTGTAACGTGCACGGTTTCCATCATTTTAGCTGACGATCTGAACGCATGAACGGGGAGAACAGACAAACGCGAAAACCATCTAAGTAGTGGATTTGTTGTAGATGATCCCAGAGCTGGAAACGGTGATCGCCATGCATTAGTCACCATCTGTTTATTGTAAGCGCAAACTTTCAACACAAACATAGTGCCGTGTAACCTGGTGCCCCAAACACAACCAATTAGGTGTTCAGATTGACCACATAGCGATTAGCTATAGATGTCGATCCCGTGTACGGCCCTGATCATGCACTGGTTTGTGTTTGTATCGGGTTTCGCCTACCTGGCATCAGGGGCAAAGCTATTCAGCAGCGTGGTATTCACTACCTTCGAAACTCAGACGGTAAAGTGGCCTGTTAGTGGTAGCCATCTAAAACAACTCAGGAATACGAAACAAACTAGTCCACCGAATGCTTCTGGATTGAAACACCTTGAATTCAAAGTTCGGTTGTTTTTGCCCCCAGGAACAAAGTCGCTTTCGAGTTCATTTCGGGTGTCACAGTTATCCATGTCCTTGATCGAGGCTAGGAGAGCTATCCCACAGAGCCGTTGATTGGATTCGACAAGGTCCCTTAAACGACTCTTGCTCAACAATTTTCCGACTGTTTCAGGGGAAGCACAAAACACTGAATGGAAACAGTCGAGTCCTTTTCAACTTATTTCTAATACCTAGAAGATTGTAGGTCAGTGAGCTTCTACACACAAATCCATTCAAAGTCCTCCCACCTACCTTTCTGGGTGGAACACTTTCGTTCAACGCTGTCGTCGTTTGACTTGGTTGGTCTACTGCAGGAAGTATACTTTTCGTTTCAAAGGACATGGAATGAAAAGTGACCAGTACCTGACATATTTGAGGGCTCCGGTAGATTTCACTTGGTTTAAGTATCTAATATACACCAGTTTTCTATTGATTTCTGCCGATTCGCTCGTTATGCACTTTGTTTTGCCAGGCACACAGAATGACTGTGTTCATTTGATTTACTACGTATCATTCTGGTTTACCTGCCTTTATTCCGGCTATAATTAGTGATCCCACTAGCTATTGCTGCCGCGGAAACATGATTCTCACGCAGCCAAACACAACTTGTTGATATGCTTTGTGGTGGGATTTTTTAACCCTAGTTATAAATTATCCCAACTACCATATTGATTCGCCGTAACATATGGCACCGGTTGGCGGACAGATGTGTTCTCTGTGCACATGCGTCTGGGTACGCGTTCCTTCCAATCTGTGTACCGCTAATTAGCTTCACAGGCCAGGGAGAAGTGAATGTTCGCAATTTTTTCCGTTCCGTTTTGTTGAATACAGTTGCCCAGCAAAAGCGGTCAGGCTGATATGTAAAATGTGGCTTACATGGACAGGTTTCACAGCTGGGCATTACTTTCAGGGTGAAATTTAGATTTGTAACTCTAAAATACTAATGCTGCCTACAAACTGGCCTAGAGTGAAAACGTTTAGGAAGTCACCTGGGTTTACACATGAGAAATGTCGTTTGAAGGAGCACAAGGTGCTCCTTGTGCACGAGGTGCGTCATTGAAGGGATAGTGGCACTGTATTCTGTCTAAGCGTAAGTTGCTCACACTACTAGCAGCTGGACAGTAATTGTTGAGACTTCAACCCCGATGGTCGCTGGTGATGAAATAGTTGCCGAAGGCTTTGTGGCTTTTCAGCATAGACCGACCTCACTGCATGAATAGATCGTGAAACCCAAACTGTTGTCCATTGAAACCCATTTAAGGCTGTTGTTTCATTGGCCAACTTTTTCACCATATCTTCAATATATCCCCATGCGTAACTGGGTCATTCATTCACTGTCGATGAGATTATTAGCAGTTTGCTTGCGTTGACTCCGCCATCTGCTTTCCTGTACTGAGTTCAACTGCTCAAGGTTTTTCACCAGCCGTATATATACACCGAAGAAACATTGTCGGTATAGACAGCACATTCCTTCTGTTTTTGTGCTTGCATACGTATCATTGTTTGGATCTCTTCATCAGCTCTCTTTCGTATTGTTTCTCCCTCTGTTTCAGCCCCTGATATTTTGTCCCGAGCCTCATGTTTTTTTTGACTTCTTTTACCCTGTACAGGATATATACGAACACAATGTGGTTAACCGGATCATGACGTTGCTTATTGAAAACGCCGCGCATTTTTTTCGCATGAATGCATCCAGTTGCGCAAACGTGACGCAACCGTCTTTCCCAACCGAATTGTTCGCATCTGACAAGGTCAACGCGCGTCGAGGCAGCGAAGGACCAACGAGGCCAATGTAGGTCACCACATCTCGTTCTTTAGATTTGATTACAAACCGTCAAGTTAACCAAAACTGACGTAATAGGGTCACTTGTCATTTTTTGACGATTCCCCTGATAGCGCATGCTCGGGACACTTCCTCAAAAACTTGACTAGTAATCCTGGTCCATTCTAACTTGCAGGGGACATGCAGATCAATTGTGCCCTCTCTTCTTTTCTTTTACCCATTTAACATCGCGCTTGCACTCTGGAACCTTTCTCTGAAATTTCTGGTGGTCAAGGTTGTACTTATAACATACCTTCTGATGGAATGATCTTTCATTCCGTATCCTGAAAATTTTGGAAGTTCCTCACTGGCAATCCCAAATGTGAAGCAGAAAGTGCCACCCATGAGATTGCGACACTATTCTTCCCAAATACTTTTGAATCTTGGTAATATTTGCCTCCTGTTTCTCTGGTGTTTGTTGTGATGCCTTCGTGGATGATTTTTATTGGAAAGTCAGTGGAACAGCACCTCTTTTATCTTTCTACCTTAGTTACTCTCACTTTCCGAAATGAACGTTGGTGGATAGTGAATACGGCCCTTTTGAAGACTTAAAGTTTACTTATTGTGGACAGGCACTGTTCCTGGATTTCGGACTTGGGGTGCTAGAGTCGCCTCCATAGATGGGGTTTTAACGTTTATGAAATAATTTAGGTTCCTGTTTGCTGCCCACCCGAAACGCCTCGTGGAATGTATTAAGCTTCCGATGGAATTGTGCGTTTTCGTTCAAGTGACTTTGAATTTTGAACTTTGTTTTTTTTTCGCGGACTCTGTTCGGCATCGACCAACGTACGAAGTTGGCTATTGACTGATTCGACGTGAAACGGACTTTTTGGAAAATGCTTTGAAATTTTCAGGATTTTACGAAAGTTCGCTGAAGGCTTACCGTAGATCGCGCCTCATCATGGCGCGAGATGGCCCAAGTGGTTAGGGTGCCAATTTACTGACCGAAAGGTCTATGATTCGAACCGGACCTCTGTTTCTCTACTTCCCCTGTCTGAGCTTTGGCAACCTGGCAAAATCCAAGCCCTCGTGCTACTTTCTGGTGGTATGGCAGCTAGGCACCGAAAGGGTGTTACAGCTGAACGATTTTTTTCTCATCATGTTCGCTGCGCTGTATTTTGAACTGTATGTTGGGTTGTCTGGTCTCATGCTCGACTAATCTCCGAAGAGACAACACTCGTGTTTTATCGCAAGATGAACTGAAAAAGAGCCTGGGACAGTACCGTCATCTGTCGGTTTGTGAAAACATTAGTTTTTGGTCTCCCACTTTTATTAGGTACCGGACAAGATCACTGCTAGACGTATTTGTTTTCTACGTTTGATAGTATACCGTGGGTATCGTCTTTATGATTATTGTTTTATGGCAGACCATTCTCAGAAGATACCCGTCGGTGCACAGCCGAACTGAACGATAAAGCTGAGTCACCATATGCACTTACTAAAAGAGTATTTCCTATGCTGTTTGCTGTCTCGGGACGTTTCCGACTGATTTTGTCACAAGGCAGAAACATCGTTTTTTCGGACTACTGTGCCGTTAATGAGTAGCCAATATTAGTGTAGTATTTTGAATGCCATTTCGAGTGTTTATGGCGTCTATTTTTACTTGCACTACGGTTTCCGAACCAGTCTGGAGGCAAACGGGGCTCAGTCGAATTCCTCGGGTTCAGAAAGTCTTTCAAACTCTACCACTCTGGGTTTTCCGAAGAGCTCACAGCCCAAACTACACCCTACTGGTTCTACGGACAACGATATTACCGGAACCTCCATTCTCCAGAGTCCAACAACGTGGCAAACGGAGGATTTGTCGGCTGGTCTGGCGGCAGCGATTCGAGTATGCATTGAGGAACACGTGCTTGGTCCCACGGAATCCTACTCTGACATCCAACCATGCGTCACTCCTGACTCGGTGACGGATAAACATGCAAATTTCTGTACCAACTCACAACCAACGTTTTCCCCATCTTATGAAGCCTGTACACTGCCGAGCAGAGGAAGACTGAATTCCGAACCTCAAGCAAATTTTTCGGATGCTAAGGTAGATTATTTGATATCCTCTCTTTAAATATGTCACAGTCTATATAGGCGACTGAGTGCACATTTTTCGTCCACAGCTCGCCCTCGGTCAACCTGTGAATTTTGAGGTTTTAGTTTGTGATCTACTCACGGTAAACCACTCCCAAATACTTGAGAAGCCACTTTTCGCGCGTAACTTACTCTTTCTTTCTCACCAGCACTAATATAGGCAAAATTTAGATGTTGAATCTGCATGTTTAACGATTGTTTTTCTGAGGTGCTAGTTTTTCTTGGTCATATTCAGACTGTCCCAATAGTCTTGTACATCAGTCTGTCGGCTCGAAACAGAATGCCCAGTCTCTGTTGGCACACCTATTGAGCAGTGAGTGGATTATAGTTTGCCATCATCATCTATGGATTACTGGTTAGATGGAGGTCACTGATTCGGCGTAGTTATCATGTTTTAACAAAAAAGTTACCTACTGATGTGCTTTCAGTGTTGAGAATGGTAATGCGTGCTTTTGTGTGAGGCTTTTTAAGTGACAGATCACGTTTACATATTTCTTCCCGAACAAAGTGTTTGTTTTAGCCAGAGTCAGAATTGTGAATTGCCGAATTCGGTGGACCGGAAAATACCATTGGTATAGAGAGGTTCCGCCATGAAGACTAGCGATTTGATGGAATTAGGCCCTTATTTCACAGTCTCTTTCCTGTACTCTGGTGCCGCTAAAAGACTGCTTCCACATTGTTATGGGCCATCGAATACTGATGCTCAACTATCCTTAGAAATCTTCAAACCTTAAGGAGAGAAACGAGGCAGATCGTTAGCCTGATGTAAGCCGCTTACAGCTGATTCAGAATTACAGACAAAAAAACATCAATAAAATCTCATTTATTTGTGGCTAACAGTGCCAAGGTGAAGTTGTGTCAGCAGTCCGCTGGATATCATGAGTGAATCATAGTCACGAAATGACTATTAAGGCTAAGCTTTGGACATCTGGGATGACTGCAAGTTCACGGTTTATCTGTTTATTGTGCGTTCACAACTAGTTATGGAGGAATGGTGCTTCTATGGGAATAGCCTCCACTTTACACATATAGAAATCAAAAAGACAAATTACCTCACCGAAGTGCCCGGCGGACCTCAGAACCTAGTGATTATTTTTTGTCCGGGACAACCAACTCGGTGAGCATGGTTTGTTCATTCATTCACCTCGCTATCTATCCTCTTTCAGAAGCAAATAATGTCGGGATAAACGTCTTCTTCCAAGTGTGTTGATTGTTCGGAGTGACTAAATGTGGTGTCAACGAAGTTGACTTTCTCGGGCTCATGCCTATTCCAGAAATAACTCGCCCTTTTCCCTGGAATTTTTCCAAGTCGGGGTTGATGCAACCAGTTGTCATCATTCTCATACTGCCTGACCGTTCTTGTACGTTGCTTTCGGATGTTAAAACTAATATGCTCTGTCTAACCGGACAAACTATCATATTCCTTACACTACGTTGTTTTTTTGGGGACCAGACGCCAATTGTGACAAGCTCTACTTTGGATACTCGTGACAATTTCGGTCACAATCGAAGTCCTGTACGTAAGAGTTTGACTTCAACAGCTCCAGATACATTACTTCAGCTGACCCAGCGGTTGCATCTCATCAAGTCGCAAGTCAGAGACTATGAACGAAATTTCGAGGCAACATGGGGCAGGAAACCTAACTTCATGGAAAAGCGCGCGGAATCTAGAGTAAGTGCTTACTGTCACCTAGCCATATCTTTTGCCACGGTAGCGTCCCACGCAATCCTCGACGTCTATTATTATTAATACTATTGTTATTATTTTCTTGGTGTTTACAGTGCAGTAGTTGATTTCTTTGGTCATTTTCTTTGGCATGCAGTCTGGATCTACGTCATTTCACCAGTCTCTCAAGAGGTTCTGCGAGAAACCAGCGTTGCCCCTTGTATATTATCAACTGTATTTGACATGTTTGATAATGTGGGGTTCTGAAGGCGCACGATGAGTTTTTTACTTGGTACAGGCTGATTATTCAGAGGACAAGAAGCATCCTTCCGACAACTACACTCATTTGCATATCAGTTTGGTTTTCAGCAACATCGCGAGTAGTTTCCTTTAGGAAAAAAGGCGACCCTCTTCAGACGAGATGCCTTACAGAATCGCCCCGCTTGTTCTGTGGGATGTTGTTCTGACGTACGATGAGATGACACCCGGTTTCATGGTTTAGCCAGCTGGCTCCTTGTTAATTACCTTGCGTTGCCGCGGCTCTTCCATAAAAAGGATGAGCCGGCCGCTAGAGTTTTTCGAATCGATGTTGGCCGTGAAGCTCGATCAGCTCGATCGACATCCCATCGTTCGGTAGCACATGGAAAACCAGGAGTTCAACGTCATCCATACTTATTGGGAGCCAGATTTTCGATTATCCCCGAAGTGTCAGGAGGGAGTTTGGACAGTTTGTGGAGGACCTGTTCAAGCCAATGTATTCGGTTCGAATGTGTCCATTCGGAAAGTCACATAGTATTCTAACCAGGTTTTCTGTCACCGTCGTTAGATAACCTGTCGTTCCCATGTACTTTCGGCAGTAATTCTAAGTTCTCGGTCAAGTACGTCAATTCCATGATGCTTGCCGGCTTTGAGAGTTCAAGTCACACAGGCTTACTTACGGGTCGAAACCCCTCGTATGTATGCTATGTACTTTGCTGCTTAATGTTTGACGGTTCATTGGTGGCTGTTTCCAATTTGTGTACAATTCATTTCCATACGGTTCCCATCTAGGTTCGTAAACTGTTGGATGAGCTGACTGAAATTCGAACACAAATCAAACAGGCCAGAATAGTCACGGCAGAGACAGTGGAGGGCCCACAATCACCCGCACATGACGCGGTGGAGCATGAGGTTGACCATTTACGTCCAATTCCATCCACCCCTGACCCAACAGATGAAGCACCTATTCCGAGGTCTGACGTTCAAGTGATCCATGACAGTGGCAAAAAGCATAGACAACTTAATGGGACCAGTCAAATGAATGATTGTCCAGCGCAGGGCTCAGCAACACTCAAATGTCTACAAGGTTTGTGACAGTTGTGCTTCAGTTGTTCTGCCGGAATATAACCTTTTTTGTGCAGTTACAGGACAAGTCTGCTCCCGCTATGATGCACTTGTTGTTGTGGATTTTCACAAACTATTTTTGATAAAATACCCTCGATAGAGCTCTCATTAGTCGTACAGTTTACATCACGGGGAGTCTTTAAAACAACTGGAGGTATTTTTTCCGACAATCTTCAAGGTGAACGTCGTATCTATTTTAACACAAAACGATCACCACGAATTACTAACCGTGTCCATGTCCGTCCGTCACTCAGCTCCAACGATTGAGGACCGCATTACACAATATAATGTAGCTGAATTGTCGTAGACTCCACCTTTGTCTCCTCCGGTTGATCTCAGCGAGTGGTGCGTGAAAATTTCTACGACAGAGGTCATCGTTTACCTGTCGGCTAGTGCATGCTGTGCACTTAGACCACGCACGGGCTCATACATCTATTCATTAGGATAATTTAACTTTGTCCTATTGCCTTGGAGCATGAATCCGATTAGATTTCGGACTGCGAGGATTGGTATCAGTTGGAATGGCCATTTTTTTATAGCCATTATCATTGAAGACACTTATTGGTGCCTACCCATGGTGTGAGCTAACGAAGCTGTTTATTCAGCTGGTATCTACTTCCTTGTTCCCACGAACTTAGCTCTTTATCCGGTTATTTCCAGTAGATAACGCTTTCACAGATGTCTCGCAACACACTTCAGCTAGTTCTGGACAGTGTCAACCAACTATCAGACTATACACGCCGACCCTTGATCTCGATCGAAAGAAGCGGTCATGTGGTCAGAAGAGAAACAGAAAAACACAATGAAGCATTGAACGTTCAACTGAAAGTGAGGGAGAAGGAATATCTGTGGTGAATATTGAGAAACTGAGCAAACACAGTTAAGGAATACTCTGGATTTTATACGTAGAGTCAATTAAAAGTATGATTAGACTGGACAGCGTCCTGTAGCACTGACGATTACCAGTTATTTAGTTGAGTGTATTTCGCTTCTACAAGCATCAACTTCACAACCAGAATGCGTCCAACTTGTGATCGTGACTTTCGACGAGGTTCTACTTAGATCTGATGAACGTAACCAGATTCCTTTTCAGATATAGTGTAGAAAAGTTACTGCAACTTTGTGAGAGGTCTTATTGCACTAATTATATGTGCCCACAGGCAGGGGGTATGATGTGTCTTGGTAATCACTGCAACCCAATAACGGTTGGTTCTCAAGCTCAACTAAAATGTCGTTAACCCCAAATAGCCCATGGGTTCCAACAGTTTTCTTCATGCTGGACAATGCCCATGGGTGTTTGATGTTAGGGCAGTCGTGGGGTCGTGGAACTGTTTGTTCGTTTCGCTTCATAGCTCCGTTGGTGCACAACTAGCTTGCAGTGGAATTAGTGATAGAAGGGGGAGAAGTTGTCATTCTTCAGGGAGCCGGAGAAAACGAAAAGCGTTACATTGTCCAATTTTTACCACTTTTGTTTCCGAACCAGGATGACTTTCTGGCATGATCTGACAGCGAGATAGGTCCATATAAGTAAAATTTAGCTTCTCATAATGACCATAAACAGTGTTTTCCGCATACAATCCTGGTGGCGGGTGGTTAAAATTTATTCGATGCCTGCAGTCAAAATGTGAGTGGCGCTTCATTATCGGTCTCCATTTCCATTTCGAGATGTATTAGCACACTGAGATTGCAAGAATAGAAGCTAGATCCTGTCCCATGTAATCCGTGCCACAATGTTTTTCGGCATACTGTGAAGCACACTGGCTGTCCAGTGGTCATAATATGAAGCCGTGCAGTTATTCGTCCTGAGTTTCGATGTGAATAATATACGACGAGTACTCAGAATCCGCGTACAACCTATAACCAGTTCCTCTTTATTTAGGACTCTACCAAACGTGGAGTATCAGAACCTTTAATACCATGTTGGTTAACATGCTAGAGTCAGAATAACACGCTTACACCAGACAGCTTTTTACGGGAGGTCCATTGTTCTTGACCAGGTTCAGAGAGTCCGTCTTTGGCTCACGTATCCCGTAGGGGGACACCTTTTCATGCGTCGTTACGGTTAAATTTCACTAACTCTTTCCTCAGTAGTTGGCTCGCAGAGGTCACCCGGACGTCAAACGGCTGTCCCGGATCTTCGCTGTTGGTTCGTTCTTCACGTTAGTTGAATGTGACTGCTGGTTTTTTCTTCATGGAAACCACTCACACGACTGTTAGTTGCTCATAAATCACCACTCACTCTTCGACTTTTTGAAGTTTGAAGTGATTTTCACTTCAAAAGTCTTCTTCGACAAAAGGCAGTTGGTCTTTGTAGTGACAGCAGAATATTCTTCGTATTTTGACACATACACGACGTTGGCTGTCATAGCACCGATAGCAAAGGACGTCGAAACCTGTATTCGAAACCACTGCTTAACCTTGTAATATCTTCTGTATATGTGTTAGTGCGCCATATGATAGCTGTTTTGACAGTGGAGCAAACACCATTATATGAAATGCTGCTGGTTTTGAAGATGTCTCACAGAGCGCGCTTGTCTATCGGTTATCTCCAACAGGTGCCTCCTCGGTTTGGGATCCTAAGTATTGGTCATCAGAGTACAATACCACAACTACGGGGATGTTGGCACACACTCTCCCTTCATTAAGCAACGCTCCATCCGCTGCGCATTCATACAAGGCTAGCAACCCGGCGAGGTCATCGGAGGCATCGTTGACGGAGACCTATGAGCTTTTAATTCACCGTCTGGCAGAAAAACGCGCTTCTGCTAGGAGACCAGAGGATTTAACCTTGATGAACCCCAAGCAAGTAAGTCAATTCTACTGGTGAGCAAATTTCAAAACTATTCCCTGTTACATCGGTGCATAATTTATCTTTTGAAGTCGTCACCACGAATTATCCCAGGTTTTTGTTCAGGCTCACCTTCTTCCTTTCCTTGATTTAATCCAGATTGAATCTGAAAAACTAGCAATCCAGAAGGCTCTTCTGTACTTCGAAAGTCTGCATGGAAGACCTCGAACTCGCGAGGAACGGCTAATAATGAGACCAATCTACGATCGGTATAGAGCGGTAAAGAGGCTTTTAAGCGCGACGACACAAGATGAGAGACCTTTGACGGCCAATCCTCCGACAGAAGGTCAAATCAGCGGCAGTGATACTCGTGCCACAGATTTAGACTCGGAATTTTGCAGTCGTGGGACTCATATTATCTCATCAGAGCTGGACGAAGTAGAGAGTATTACGCGAACTTCGTTCCGCAGACCTACTAGCGCTCACCCCCATCTACACATGGATACACGCACCTGCCTGTTGACTCAACCGCCACACAGAGTTGGTACTGCGTCAACATATTCTATGAATCGTCGTAAAAGTCAACCCGGTATCAACAGTGGTGATGATGAGAGCCCCTCTCTACTTAGACAAAGTCAGCAACAGTTCACTTGGAACACACGAGTATCTACGATTCCGAGACCGGTCCAATTGGCAGAAGAGGTTGAACTTCAATTACCGCCTCCAGATTCTACGGGAAGAAACGAGTGGTGTAAGTTTAACGAAAAGCGACTTACATTTTATCAGTACTTTGTGGAGTGAGTCGCCCGGAGCAAACTGAACTTTCTTTCACAGAGTGAGAAACCGCACATACTCATTTATAAGTCCCATATCTCCTTTAACTGAGAGCTAACGTTGACTTGTATGCAAGAGTGAGGCCTGTATGCGAGGTTTGGTGTGAGCCTCTCCGTATCAGAATAGTGTCATCTAGGATGGACAAATTCACTTCAATACGTTCGTCCGACAGTTCCTTTGTAGTCTCTGAATATCACCGCTGCTCAAACACAACCGATTTCTCCCTGTTTTAGAGTTATCTTTGAGAATAGTTACTGCAGTGACAGTTGTAAGCTTTTTTCACGGAATACACAACATAGGTGTCCCATTTCTGGGTGAGCCAAACTTTAGCGTTGCACAGGAGTATGAAGTGGATTATGAAAATTCTGGGTACTGTCGTTACGACTCGCCCTCCACGATGGGGTCCGTGTGATCCCCCCTGCGCATGGTTGGGGGCACTGCAAGATGTGACTGCTACTCGTTGTCATTGGTGTTGTTCTTGTCAGTTTCTATCCGGAATGAATGTGTGGAGATGTATGCACCTCGGTAGACTGGCCCCGAATTCCTTCCCCATCCACTTTTATTCTTCTCTTCATAGTGAGGCTTTCAAACACATGGTTGTACGGTAGCGAAGCAATACTGTCGAGCACCGATATTGTAATATCCATACTGCTGGCGCTGTTGGGCCAGATATATAATTGGTGACTGAGTAGCAGGGTATCCTAAGCACAAGGGAATCACGCCACAGGGCAATCACTCCTAGCTGAAAAGAGGTATTCATACACAGACAACGACTCCCAACAAGTATGAAACAACTCCACAGTGCCTCTCGGTTCCTTAGTATAGAATTTTTGCTTAAACATCCCCATGGTTTGAAAAATAACAAAGTGACAAACAATAATGTTTTCGGGATCTTATCATCAGGTCAGTACATATCTAATGGTTAAAATAGGGGCGAAAAATGAAATTGGTTGGAAAGGATTGGAAATGAAAGATTGGTTAGTGAAATGCAAAACGTGGAGACACGAACGATTGGTTGTCTGTCTTGATATTTTTATGGTAGTATAAACCGTTCCGAAATGGATGCTCTCCTGACCACCTTCAACCAAGCACATCCCTCTATTCAGTTCACTTTTGGTATTGAATGTGACAACGCTTTCCACTTCTTGGACGTTAAGTTAGTCAGACTTTCCACGGGTTCAATTCAGAGTTCTGTCTACAGAAAGCCCACGTGGACGGGACAGTACACAAACTTCCTGGGTTTTGTGTCGCTGAGGCAGAAACCAACCCTGATTCAAACTTAAACGAACCGAGCAAAACGTATTTGCTCTGCTGATACACTGGACTCCGAACTGCAGCACACTGCTAACGTGCTACGAGCCATTGGTTACCCGGAGAGATTTGTAACCAAGTGTACGTCCGACCGCCCTATCCACCCGCCTATCACGGCCGTTGGAAAGAAGCCAATATACTTGAGTTTACCGTATAAAGTCGTTCTGTTGGCGGAGATTGTCGATCGCCTCTTGTTTCAATCCTTACAGCGCACGTTTCCGGCTGGAACTATGTGGTCTTGGTTCACAACAAACCCTTTGCTCAACTTAAACCTCAAAGCAAAGATGCCAGTCCTCATTCAGAATATGGTTGTGTATTCTTTCTCCTGCTGTTGTTCAACAGAGTATGTTTAGCGCACGACACGGCAACTTTCTAAGAGAATACGCGAGCACCTCCCTTACCGGCATACCACTAACCTCAACAGTTCAGCCAGGAGCTCAATTGCATCCCACCTAATTGACACCGGGCACGTAGTCATGCCGAATGAGTCATTTCAAATCATTTACCGCGTGCCAAATAGACTGCCAGTATCTGTTCAACGGCATTGCTTGACTACAGCCGAGACAGTCGCTATACGCCTGTCAAAAACGTTTCGTACGAAAGCTGAGTCGACCTTGGTCGTATGACACGAATCAACCGGCCAAGTCACTCAGCAGCCCTCTTCACTGTCTCACAGCATCTAACTAGATGCGACATGGGGAGGGGGCGCAGACAACCAATCGTTCGTGTCTCCACGTATTTCATTTTTCGCTCCTATTTTAACTAGCCCCATTTTGTTGAGTGAAATTCATATTTGTGACCTCAAAATCCGCTGACAACCTGCATGAATTACGTTCCTCCCATGTTTACGGAGTTGACGATACTGAATTTGGAACGACTTGACTGGGGCTTCTGTATGGACGTAGGTTCTTTTATTTTATCGAATTCCTTGAATTCTGTGAAGTACTGAACTAGTGTTTTTTTTACGTATATGTCCATTAAATTTTATTGTCCCACACGGGCGATGTTATGCACTTTTTGCCTTTTTTTGCAGCCATCTACATTGACTGTCGGCTTGTACGCTTGTAAATGTCGGCTGCCGACATGATCCGCTCTGCCCCCATACCTCTGCACCGAGGCGCATAGACCATCTACTAGAATTAGTTATTTCCTCTCGCGGTTTTTACAAAAATCTTTGTCTACCGTTTGGTCTCCTTAGGTTCGCGTTTTCCACATGGAGTTTGTTTTTTCATCCTGAGCCTTTCTTGAGCACTCCTGCTTTCAAATCTAAGATGTCGTCGCACATAAATTAATTGTCTTGACGCTAGAATAACTAGACAGTATTTTTGGACAATTTTCATTTTTTGAAAGTGACCAACTTTCCACGTGACCGGTTTTACGAATACTCTGCTCTGGTCAAACGAACCGTTTCGTCAGACGACCCGCGCCACATCAGCACACTGACGGGATTGAATACGATTACATAATTTGATCCTGTGAAGCTCATCACATTGTTTGGTCAAATTCTGACCATGCGCACCACAATTTCTTTTTGGGTAGTTAGTCTTGGTGCGTCTGTGTGGTTCACACTAGGGAAAACGAGTTTGAGGATTGAGAACACGGGCGAAATGTCTGGTCTCATTAGTTGCACCTCAGGTGGATCGGACTTCATTCTGATTCCTGTTGGACAACTGACAACCCTAAATGGTCGCTGTAGTTGTGCAAATAAGGCATTCTGCACAAACCGTTTTAGGTACCGGTATATAAACGAACGTGAACAGAGAAGCAGAAACACACGTTAGGTGAAGATGTGTTGCTGTGTGATGCAGAGGTGATATAATATTACGACGGATACTCTCTCCAAGCTTGATCAACACACTCAGTAAGTCAGGGATGGCAGTGTTGAGATGTGTACATCTCTCCAAGGGCTATACAAACAGGTCATTTCAGAGGCTTTCGGGCTACACTGGAAATCAAGCTATGTTCAACCAGAATGGCGGACAGAGATCATTGGGTTTCCTTCCCAGGTTGCACCGAATCCTCAGTACAGGAAATACCCTCAAAAGAGGTCCGGGAAAGAATGGGTGACGTTAACAGTGTTGACAGTATGCTGAAGATGTGCTTCCAGATGATGGACCACGAAAATGTGCTTGAATGGATGTGTATATTGATGTGTGTATTGAATGGATGCGACACAAAGAGTATCCGACTACTAAAGATGAATCCATTTGGGGAATACGACCTATTGACGCTTGCACCACCCACCGGTGACGGTTGGCTGCTAGATCTATGCAAATCAAGACGCAGTGCTAGACTGTAGACCGCTTGAATTGCTTCGTATCGTCTTTGATCGTAGTGAGCGACGTCTTTGGTTCTCTTCCGAAACAATAACGCCACCTTTACCACCGTGTGCGGGCCCGCGGTTTGTTTTTAGAGCCTCGTTATTGTTTTTGTGTATTCAATTTTCAAATAATTGTAGATAGTGTCGTTGAAGATGATCTAAGTGTGATAAGTGATCCCAGCTCTCATAGATCTCGTCGTTCGGCAGTTCTGGTTGGATACCTTAAGCATTCTTCGATGGCACCTGTCTTCGTAAACCTCTCACTACTAAGTATCCTTTCTCCTAGATGTTAAATCTCTTGGGCCTAAATTAGATGTTTTTATCTTACGTTATAATCATAAAGTTGATGGGAAGGGCTACTTTATTATACAGGTAGAAGCTAAGGATGGGAACGACTTTGTTGTTTGCAGACTCGATTTATTCTCCTGACTGGTATATTACTATAGTCGAAAGGTATCTATCTTTTGGCAGGATGGCAACTCAAAGCGGAACAGCTTTGGTTTGGTCCGATTGGTCGATGACACACGGAATGTGAACACCATGTTCATCAATTTGAGACAAGTGTTTGTCCTATTTGCTAGGATTCTTCTAGAAATGCTCTGCAATTGAACTCTTCCTCGAGTGGCGTCAACATTTCCTATTAGGTTGTCCCATTGCTAGCACATTTGATATCCGTATAAAGTATGCCAACAGTTTGAGAGGCTTTATCTATTAGCTGTACGTCGAACCCCGATGCCTGAGAACGCGTGTCATTCAATTCCTTGAACACCTCTTAGTTCTACAGACCCATCTAGTGGTTTAGCCGACGACGTGTCACATGAGCAGAAATTTTCAAGTTGGTGGAGCCCAGACGGAACGCGATGCAATAGACCCTGAGTGATAGATCTGTGGAGTAGCTTTCTGAACTGTTCTGCTGCGTTTGAGGGGCTCAGTGATAGATGAAGGGAGTGAGGATCTGATTCGTTTTCTAAAAGGCCGTTCCAAATCCGACCACACATTTGCCGTTACATTCGGTCAGGCTTTTTGCGTGAACTAAGGGTCATTCAACTAAGGTATTCTGACTATTCACCGTTCGTGACGTCTATATAATTAAAAAAATCAATAAAGAAGATTCACATTTATCCGACTCCCAAGCCTGCTAATTTCACTCATCAACACGGATATTCAGCCTTTGGTTGCTCTTCTCATCTATCAGTAACCAGTTTTATTCGCACGATGACAAACTCACGAATGAGCTGACCTCTGATCACATTAGCCTAATCTGGAATATTTTCTTGGAAGCTTTTTATGGTTTCCTGCGGGGACACACTGTCTGCGATTCGATTTCTTTGTCTCCAGGGTGCACTCTCCGACAGTAGTCTTACTCTGTACTTTAGCACTGTGCCGTTCATACGCTCCATTTTATTCCGAATAGTCGGCTCTTTTCGACCGAATAACCGGTGCGGCTCCAAAGGTGACAATCATCCCTCCAGATCGAGCACATGTGTACCGTCCGCCACCGTTACGTCTGAGGAGAATATCAGACCATCTCCGTCTCGAGAATTCCCTTCGTCCACTCCTTTACTTCGAACAACCAGTGTGTCAACATCCACCCGAGCCAAAGACGAACTGAACGGTCTTGTGTCGGACAAACCGGATGTGAGATTTGCTCGGAGCGAACCACCGCTCATGAACCAACAAAAGTCATCTCACGACATTCGAGCTGTATCCTCACCGTCAGAATTTATTTCTACAATTACCGCATCCGAGTGAGTGGTCTCGTATGATTTGAGAGGCTACCTTGGTCTTCCGATTTCTGCCTTTGTACAATCCAGCTAATGTACCCCTCCTCACCCTATCACCAGTATCGATTGGGATTATCAGTGGTTCGATTTTTCTCGATAAGAACACAGCCAATCGATTCAATCGTTCCTACTGTTCACCCTTCCCCAGTGTCTTATTCCCTCATTGTTTTACGGGTTAAAACTGTTTACAGAACTCTACTTCTACACAGCGGTTGGCTTAGGATTTGTTGTTTTTCTTCCGGTCTGTACAGCAATCGTATCCGTTACTCACTCAGCATCATGCGAACGGTTTCACTGTTGTGCTGCTCAATATTTCAAACATATCACGTAAATTTTCTGTCTGACTGGTATTATTCTGTTGTCCTACTTTGACAACATAATCTCCTGTCTGAACTGGTCTCTATTCCATCACCTTAACTCCATATACGGTGGATGCCATTCGTTGATGCTGTCACCCGGTTTGTGCGTGTAATTTTACTAGCTTCACGACTGCATTCGTGAAGGTCGTGATCGTTTGTTCGATTTACCCTTCTCCTTAGGAGAGAAGCCTAGAATAATGTCGTCAGGTTCCGTGCTGGTCATCTTGGGATGAATCTACTGCCAATTGAACTGTTTGTTCATTAATGAGGTGGAGGACTTCTTGATTGATGATGGTCCAGGCGGACGGAACAATCGAGAACATGCCACCTGCTAGGTGATGTGTTATTACTCTATGAGATTAACGACATCCAAGTTTCGCAGAATCCATTATTATCACCCATTACCATGAGTAGGCGGGATAGAATATTCCAAAAGGATAACGCAGCAATTCACGTCTGTTGACTCGTCAATACCTGGATTCCGTTCCATCGCTTGTGAAAGTATTAGACGGACGTTGGATACTCGTGACCTCAACTTGGTGGAGAGCTCCTGGGACACCCTAACACATCGGATGTAGGTGTTGTGAAAGCTCGAAGAATTGTTGTTCACATGACTAAAGCTTCGGCAGTTCTCCTCCTGTCCTGCTGAGATTATTGTGGGCGGTCCATACCAATCGCTGGGTTCGAGTTCCCATCGCGTTAGAGATCAAGCTGGCATATATATATATCCTACATATCGCACATACATATAGATCAAGCTGCATATATATATATCCTAAAATATCGCCATACATATCCCGCGTACCCTACATCTCATACAGGTAACCAAAAATTGTCCAGCTGGTCTCAAGCACGTTGGTAGAAAGTTTTGACTGGTCGATCGATCGATTGACACAATGGAGGCAGTCGCTGGATGGTTATCCGAGACCTTGAGTAAATCAGCGGAAGTGCACTCACCTGTTGATAAGTGATAATTCAGGTTCGTCCAGCATGCACTGATGGGATACTGGCAATAGGTTCCTCTCATGTGTCTGGTGTCTGGGATTCGATGCTAGTGACGTCGAATAAAAGCGAGAGTCAAGTCAAGTCCAGTGTTTTGCCTGTTTGGTGTGAAGCGACCAGATTAACTACTGTTATTTAGAGGCTTGTCGGTATGCCAGAATAACTGAGTTAGGGGGAAGATGACGGTGACTAACAAATGTTGGGGGTATGAAGACAAACATTTTTAACCCTCGTTTTCAACTGTCTATTGTTTTCGCGTACTGTTCTCTTAAACCGCGGTCTTGTCCTTTTTGTTTTTCTGGGTCCTACGACCCGCCGATTACACGCGGAATAAACCTGGATGGTCCCACATTTTTGTCACCGGGTGTGCGATTAAATTTATGGTGGAAGAAACTTCGCATGGTCCTCATTGACGCGGTTCAATCTAACAGCGCTTGAGTGTACACTATTTAGTTGCTGATGGTGCAGTCCACTTTTTATTGAGAGAAAATAGATGCTCCTAATGAGGTCTCCGACCCACCCGTAGATAGTGCAAGTCTGTTCGGTGAACGGCCTGAATGGACGGATATCTGTGTTCCAACAGGAAAACGCATTGAAATGTGACTCTTCTCGTGGAGCCTTGCCTTCCGCAACTGACTATTACTGTTTTGGCTTGTTTGGGGGGGGGGCTATCAGACTTGGACGCCATGTCAAACCCCAGAATTATGGTTATATGGCAGCAGAAGTCAGTCCTATCCAGGAGAACAATTGAAATACGTCATGTTAACAGCTGGAATGACGTACATTACAGCAAGTTGAAAATGACCGTAAAATACATTTTTTTTACATAGACACAATACACTACTCATTAGGTTGNNNNCGTACCCTACATCTCATACAGGTAACCAAAAATTGTCCAGCTGGTCTCAAGCACGTTGGTAGAAAGTTTTGACTGGTCGATCGATCGATTGACACAATGGAGGCAGTCGCTGGATGGTTATCCGAGACCTTGAGTAAATCAGCGGAAGTGCACTCACCTGTTGATAAGTGATAATTCAGGTTCGTCCAGCATGCACTGATGGGATACTGGCAATAGGTTCCTCTCATGTGTCTGGTGTCTGGGATTCGATGCTAGTGACGTCGAATAAAAGCGAGAGTCAAGTCAAGTCCAGTGTTTTGCCTGTTTGGTGTGAAGCGACCAGATTAACTACTGTTATTTAGAGGCTTGTCGGTATGCCAGAATAACTGAGTTAGGGGGAAGATGACGGTGACTAACAAATGTTGGGGGTATGAAGACAAACATTTTTAACCCTCGTTTTCAACTGTCTATTGTTTTCGCGTACTGTTCTCTTAAACCGCGGTCTTGTCCTTTTTGTTTTTCTGGGTCCTACGACCCGCCGATTACACGCGGAATAAAACTGGATGGTCCCACATTTTTGTCACCGGGTGTGCGATTAAATTTATGGTGGAAGAAACTTCGCATGGTCCTCATTGACGCGGTTCAATCTAACAGCGCTTGAGTGTACACTATTTAGTTGCTGATGGTGCAGTCCACTTTTTATTGAGAGAAAATAGATGCTCCTAATGAGGTCTCCGACCCACCCGTAGATAGTGCAAGTCTGTTCGGTGAACGGCCTGAATGGACGGATATCTGTGTTCCAACAGGAAAACGCATTGAAATGTGACTCTTCTCGTGGAGCCTTGCCTTCCGCAACTGACTATTACTGTTTTGGCTTGTTTGGGGGGGCACATATCAGACTTGGACGCCATGTCAAACCCCAGAATTATGGTTATATGGCAGCAGAAGTCAGTCCTATCCAGGAGAACAATTGAAATACGTCATGTTAACAGCTGGAATGACGTACATTACAGCAAGTTGAAAATGACCGTAAAATACATTTTTTTTACATAGACACAATACACTACTCATTAGGTTGCTGAAAAATTTTCGACATCCCATGAACGGTTTCGCCTTTCTTTAAGTTCATCACGTAAGCACAGCTCCCAAGGATCCGTCAACCTTATGTTTGACGCGAACCCAAATTGCGGAACCCAAGTTAGCGGAATACACTCATTTTCATCAAAAGCACCATAAACGAGAGATTCAGCTGGATTCCAGGTCAGTCTGCCGCCAAAACCAAACTGGTATACAAATGACTGTGTTTCAGGCTTTTCTCTACTTTAAACACAACCGGCAGGTTTTCCTAGTTAATCACGAACCGAAGACTTCTACTTGAAAAGAAAACAGAAGATTTTGATGAGTTTCTCGCGGTATTGCACCCTAACCAAACCTGAATGGAACGAACTGTGACTGAAATATGCTCGAGTTCAAGTGAACAAATGTTATTTAGCGTATCGCCAACATGAACTTGTCGATATGCCAGTTAATGCACAATTGTTATTCGAACAAGTCGAGTTGATACTGTCACCCTAAGCACAGCTCATAGGCTGTTGAGTTCGATCTTACTGTGACAGCTATTGGATCACCCGAGAATGAAATTTAATGAACGTATTAACAGAGATTCGCGAAATACATCCATTTGCACGCCAAGCGGGAGCTTAGCCGAATCCCAACCGAACCTCTTTTTTGCTATTCTTTATGTGGAACTTATCAGTTGGCAGCGGTGTTTTTTATTGGAATTCGGCTTTTGTGTAAAACCTCCGCAGTTTCTAGTGTACTTTTTTTTAAATCTTGAATGTTTAGCTTGAGACACATGTGGCCTGTCATCATCATTGAGGGGATAACGTCAGTGTTCATCACTGATGCTTCGATGCCTTATTGTGAAGAGAAGAATAAAAGTAGACGGGGAAGGGATTGGGTGCTAGCTTACTACAATCATTCCGAGGTGGCTACACCTCCAGACACTCATTAAGGCAGTCTAGATGGAAACTTCGGTGAATCCATTTATTCGTGTTCCACTCAAAGCTGTTTTCTTGTAAGTTTGTGACCACACTCTCCATTGGTTGGTCAACATTATCTCAACATCCTCAGTCTAACGACAATCAAGTGGGCTGACATTTTAAATACGGTTACCTTAGCATTATCCTCAACCCTTGTCCAATCTTGGTTTCCTCAGGTCACAAAATGCTGGTCATGGCGAATTTTCTAGGTGGACTTTAATTCAGCTCCAGGACGAATTGCAGTCCGTTCAAGATTCAAAACGTCATCTTCAGAAGATTCTCAAAGATTTTGAACACGAGTTTATGCAGGCTACTGGTAAGTTGCACTCTACCTTTTATCTTTGTTTGCATATGTTCATCTGATAGAGACATGTTGTATAACACTGCTCACAGCAGTTTGGATGGAATTAGTTGGCGTTTCGCATCGTGATAGGTTTGTGGAAAGATTGTATGTGGACTTCCACTATTTGGGTTTCATTGCGTCGTAACCTGGGCACACTACTTGGACGCTCACTAGTTTCAGAACAACAGGAGGCTGTTCTGATGTTGATTAGGATTTCGCGCATTGGGTTTCCACTTGTAATTTTGACGAATGTAGCGTTTTTGGCAAGGGTTGTCCAACTCAACCGATCTACCTACTTTCTGCATGGACAGTGCTCATTGGAGGCCGAATTATCGCTAAATACAAGCAATCTACTTTGTGCGAAGGATTGCATGGCTTTCAATCATGGCATCAAAGCTTCGCAGGTGTTTTTCGTATTATAGGAGCACTTATTTCTTCTGATTACTTCGGTGTGTATGACTTGTCGCTTTTAGTTCATTCGTCTCATATGCCCTCTTTTCCGTTTTTCTAGGTCATAAAGTTGAACGGAATGATCGCCTCTGTATGCGTGCCGAATACGCCCAATACAAGGTGTTGAAAACTCGTCTTCATCAGCTAGAGACAGAGCTGGAATCTCGAACCGGATGAAGGACCGTTTTATGCTCCAGTCCAACAGATTTTCCAATATGATACTCCTTTGCCCATCCAGAAACTTCCCCGTGATTCACCATTTTTTCGTATGTATCTTATGGGAATCCTTTCGGATCGCCATATACACTGGATATAGTCCTGGTTAGCGCAGACAAGAGCTTCAACCTCTTGTTTCCCATTGCATCTGCTCCAAGCAGAAACTACTTCATTTTGTCCAACTTTTCTGCCTTGCCCGGTCAAAAGTATCACGATTATCCTCCATACCACTGCATATCTTACTCGATCCTTATCTCTTATTATGTATCAGTACAATCGAACAGCAGTCGAACGGTTTCCATCTCATCTTCTCTCGGTCAGCCATGTATATCTGACTTCATTTGGTCATTCCGGCCATAACTTTTCCAACATTTCGAGACTGCTTCACTGCCCCTTGCACAATCACACACATCTGAACAGAACATGTATCCTATGCTAACTTGGTACCACACTTTTATCAGTCATCGCAATGACCTGATTAAAAAGCGAACAGATACGGTATACGTACACTGTCTTAATTTAGCTGCATTTGGACTGGTGGTATCTGCGTAGTCAATCTGTATACGTGCAATTCATGGCTGGGATACTGCCAGGTTACCCACATTTAGACAGGGGGACGATTAGGGTCCTCAAACAAAGTTTTTGGCTCACAAGCCTGAGCGCACGTCAGCGGTGTTTGGCGGGAAATGCAAGTACCTTCCCGTTTTTACGGAAAACGTAGCCACAAATGTTCCGACCCTCAACCTAGAGGACCAGGAGACTGTTATTCAGACCTGTAACCATTGACTGACCAGCCCGGTATGGGAGACCCCGCCAGTGTGATGCGGACAACCTCCAGTATAGCTCAATGGATCGCAGAGGTACACTAACTGTCACACCACGGGAAGGTCCAGTCTCTTCGTGACGGATACGCTTGTCCATCAAGGAAAGCCCCGCAAGTTTGTGAACATAGTACGTTCTTTGTATTCTCAGACTTTCGGACGTATGAGAGCTGTCGAAAGCTTCCGTACACGAATCAATGTCCATCAAGGAGACCCCCTCTCTTTCCATTCTTATTTACTTTCGTGATCGATGAAGAATTCCATTCCGAAATACCACATCTTGCAAATTCGTATTCAGGGCTGCCGAACAAGTAGCTAGCCAGGCTATTGGGGCTATCATAAGTGGCCTGGTGACAAGAGGTCGGCAGATGACCTTGAACCGAAACCGCGACAAACATTGGCTGCTGGTGATGCACAAAAGGACGGGCGCGACAAATGCACAGCGCAGGCCATCAAATAAAACATCGACCAGCCATCACATGTACAGTGACCGGGCACAAAATTTCCAGAACAATAAACAATCAAATCAGTCACGAAAATAGCGGGAAACTGCATCACTCCATTGCATTTTTGAGTCATTACGCAGTGGCAGTATCATTCGACGTAGCCTATTTTCAAAAATCCTAACTACTTTTCAGTGGAGAAGTCTGAAGGCATCACTGAGTGATTTCATTGAAACATAGACGAAAAAACGAGTGAGGACTGATTTGTGATGACGAACTCTTTTGTACTGCAACACGCTAAGCCCTGCCCAGGGTTTGTCTGATGTGGAGCTGATGTTTTAAGATGAGGCTGGTGGGTATATGTGGTCCAGTCTATGGAATATATTCCAGAGATGTCTGAATTAAGCGGAATACCTTACTGCAGTTTTTGGAATGTATAAAGGCTAATCCCATACTGGTTCGGTACAGCCAGTCACTGCACAGTCAACCTTCATTAGGAAGTCAGATTTTTGCTCCCTCCTTCGATCAGTAATCGTTCGACTGAGTTGCAGTGCGGTTGCTGAAAACCTGTTGTTGATACCGATCTCGGATTCTTTTCTATTCACTGTTTTATATTGTTCAAAGGAACCGTCACGGACTTGGCACGTACCTAGTTGATGGACCAGTTCATACTTGTTGAGTGCTGCGTTCTGACCAACGTTGGAAAGGAAAGGAAATTGACAGGCGGTGTGGATTGAAACTAATCCAGTATTTTTCATTGATAGAGTCCATAGGCGTAGAGTTTTGCCGTTCCATTCTAAAAGCTGGAACGAACATTTAATTTGTGGTATTTTATCTAGCTGACCGAATTCAACAGTCAGATTGCACATCATATGGACGTAGTAACGCGACGACGTTATAATTTCCGGTAGTTATTGGATAAGAATTTATATCGGTCAGCCCCATTAACAAGTCCCTTGTGCGACTTCCGCGATGGGCTAGACGTTGTATAATCCACATCCGAACAGCTTTGGTTTGGAATACACTCGGTTGTATGCCAATTTGGTTTTGACGGGTGACTCTCCTCGAACCCAGCTGGATCTGTCGTTTATGATGTTTTAAGCAACTGAATGTACTGCGTCAGGTCGCCTCGTGTTTCAGTTGGCACGAAATTGGAGATATCGCGATACATTGTATAGACGTACTGCACTGCCCATAAGGTTGCTGAAAACTCTTCGACATCCCACGACCTGTTCTGCCCTTCTTGGGGCCCATCAGGTAGGCGCAGTTCCCGAGTTTCCGTCAGCCCTATGTTCTACTTATAACATGAGAGATTCAGCAGGGTTCCAGGCGAGTCTCCAGTCAAAACCAAAGTGGTATGCAGATGAGTGTATTTCGCTAATTTAATGTAATTTGGGTCCAAGTAGAGCATACAGTTAACGGAAACTCGGGGACTGCGCGTACATGATGAGCCGAAATAAGGGCGCAATCGGTGGTGGGCTATTGAAAAGTTTTCAGCAGCCTTGTGAGTAACTTCGGTGTACATTGTTACAAAGTAGAAATTAATAGATCTCGAAGTGACATAATGATGGACTCGTAATATAAACCTCCAGGTACTGCGCAGATTATCTGCTGGCTAAGCTATTGATGGCGCTCGCTCTCAGGCGTCTTTTCTTTGGACTTTCTTTTAAAGATCCATCCGCACAAGGATTACACGAAGGCTAGTTTTCTTTTTAAAGTGTCGCTGTCATGACAAGATTAACAAAAACCACTAACTTATTGTCGTCGAAAAACTTTGGTTTCTTCAAAAAGGACGATCTGCTGATGAACAATCCCATTTTGAATGCCGGATCACTCGAAAGAAAGTCACAGTGGTGAAATTTCAGAGGCCAAATAACGCAGAGTGAAACATGTTGGTCAGATGAAAATAGTCGACTGGTTGAAAAGACGGCACAATTGGAGTTGTGCTCATCTGAGAAGCCGATGGGCAACTATTCACTTGTGTTTCGTCAACCTAAACCAGTCCGATTGCTCACAACGTTACGGCTTCGATATTCCCATGTTTGAGAACAGTGGGTCCGTCAGCCGTTAGTTAAAACCTTACTAAAACCAACCAACCATCCAATCAGTCGATCAGTGAGTAGATGCGTAAAATATAAATAATGGACAATCAATACACAAACAACAAATTCAAACACCAATCAAGTGAAGTCGAAACATCTGTATGCTTCTATAATTTCCCACTTGTAAAAGCAGACGCATAAGGCGATGCATTTGTATTTTAATGCAGTAAGGGCTGCACTACCATGAGTACACCACTTGAAGTGGCTTTAGCGAAAGGACATCAAACCCGACATGTGATGGTCTCCAGTAGAATGCATTAGGCAGTTTCGCAACCTTAAAACAGTTTGGGTTGTTTTTCTCTCCACTGTCAGTGGTGAACGTGTATATGGCTACAGTTCAGCAGTAAATTATGGGACTAGACTGGATAGACAAAACCACAATTAGCACTGACACGATCTCGAGATGTGATGTGGATACTGATATTTGCCCCAGTGATATTTGGCAAACGTTGTGTCAGTCTGTGAATTGGAGGTTAATGAATCTCCCCGCTTGCCAAATGATTCAAGTTGGTGGGATTATGGATGAGACACCCAGGTTGTGTCAATCGCGCTTTTGGCTTGCAAACAGGATCAATTTATACTGGAGCACTAAGAAGGGCTCCTTATGGGGAATCAGCAGCAGTGCGCATCTCATGAAACTCCAACGAGTTTCGTATCAGCAATTTTTCGACTTGTAGTTGGATACGAAACCGTTGGACCACGAGCGACCAATCAACCATGCCATTAACGTGCACTACGACAGGATATAGCGTCACTCATCTACGAACCACGGAATCCCTATCGCGTAGTCGTCTTTGATGGTTCCTGGAGTGATGATGATGACCTCTGTGCTGGAATGCTAGGGAAACCAATGAACTATTCCGTCTTCTGAATGAATCATATTTTATCCATGGTATAAGCAGATTTGGAAATTTCACTCGTGATTTCTTAAAGTTGGTCAGTGCCCTGCACCCTGCAGTTAGGGATTAGTGGCAGTACGCATCTGTCGAAAATCCAGGACGTATCGAACGCGTGACCTCCTGGATAGCCGTTGAAGACTGAACCTTTCTGTCGCCAGCGGCCGATCGGTGATCGTTCAGCGTATGTTCTTTTAGAACACTCCCGCCAAATGTATATTTGACCAATAATCGAACCGAATGTCGGAGAAATCCGTGGAATAACAACCGGTGGTCTCTGAACTTTTGGAACATTCGTAGTTGTTCATGGCGTAACGCAGTAACAGTCTTGTTATGGGCTCCTGTAGTGGACTTGGAAATGACGTTTTGCGAAAGATCAACAGTGAGAAGCGATAGAATGGAATCGCTTGTTTGGCGATGGGCAGAAGTACACTCAAAGTATGAGACTGATATTAGCGAGATATCCCTTTGCTCAAAAGGTGTACAACCGACCACTACTTTTCGTAGATGATGATGGTGCAAGAGACCCGACTATGTCATAGGTACTGGAATCGCTGGATGCATGCGTTCAAAACAGTTTCGGAACAAGCAAACATACTCACTCGGTTAGAAGTTGAAAATAGGGTGGTCAAACACTCGGCTTGCAGGTGGCATTTCCTCTGAAACTCGATTGGTGCTGCACTCGTACGCAGAGGACGACAACCTGATAAAGAGTAAGCCCGCAGTACTGCCGACAGGTATACACAACATATACCAGTTCCTTTTAGCTTCCGGTCGGCACAACGGTTGGCGTTGCAACTGTGAAACAAGTTTAAGAGTCATTATTTAAAGAATGCAACTGTCTCCCGTTAGGCGACTTTGGAGGTGTGTAGACGCAATACACTTTATTATGCCGGTGAAAGTTCTGGCACCCTACAGCCAGTTTTTCCCCTTCTTGGGGCTCGTCAAGTAGGCGCAACTTTATTATGGAAAGTTCTGGCACCCTACAGCCAGTTTTTCCCCTTCTTGGGGCTCGTCAAGTAGGAGTAGTCCTCAAGTTTCTGTCCATTCCATA